CTTGGTCTTCTGCTTTGTGTCAGATACTTTCTAATGTTGAAGATACATTTTTCTAATGCTTTCTTATACAGGAGTGAATGAGGCCACTGCCCTGTCCTTCCAGAGGGGAGTGTGGTGGCCCACCATCCTGGGCTTCCTGATAAAACAGGGAAGGTCCTGGGCAAACTGGGACCGGATGGTCACACCATGTGGGGGAGGCTGAACACAAACGAATTACAAAAAAATAGGTGAATGAGGTGATTTCAGATAGTGACAAATATTATTCAGCAAATTCTCAGGATGATGCTACAGAAAGCACGTGTGATTTTTAGTGAACTGAGACTTCAGGATGGGTGGTCTCTGAGGAGATCACATTAACACTCAGGTGGATACAGAAGGATGCAGACCTGTGGGTAGCAGGGGGAATTGTGTTCCAGGCAGCAGGAATAGTAAGTGCAGGGGGCCTGAGGGAGAAAAGATCCTGGCCTATTTAAGAAATAGAATGGTGGCCAGCACAGAGTGTTCTGGAGGGACGGGGGCAGGGTAGGGCTTTGTGGGCCGTGGTAAGGAAATCAGACAATGATAACAACAGGTGACGTTATATCCTGGGCAATCACTCGTTTCATCACATCACTCTGCCCAGCCACCCATTTCACTGATAAGGCTAATTGTGGCAGAGACTTTAATAAGCAAGGCGTCTCCAGGCACGCAGCTTGCCGACGGAGTAAAGATTCAAACCCCAATGCATGATGCCGAACCCACACTTGTCGTCACTACCCTTAACTGAGGGGGACCCCTTGGCCAACGTGAAGGTGTGTCCATCCTTCCGAGCCCTCCACGCGCACTGGTACCCACAATCACCCAGGAATAAGGACAATCTTTGTCATCCACGTGCCCCCTCCCCCAGCCAGTTGCAGTTTGTGCTTTGCCAGTAACCGGCGCTGGAGGAGGCCTCCGCTGCTTTGTGGACTTGCTCCAGCAGTGAATGGGGGCAGTTATGAGATGGCTCAGAGTCAGTCACTCAGTGTGTAATCAGGTCACTTCACTGGGAAAACATTTTTGTTTCAGCTTCCTTCCTTCCCTGGGTCTTATCCAGGGAACAGTGTCTCTGACCTTCTAAGCCACAAAGGCCAGAGATAATGGGGCACAGCAGGTCTACGTAGTCAAAAGAGAGGAGAGTCTGTGGTGAGAGGACACACACACACACACACACACACACACACACACACACACACGAGAAAATTGTGTCACCAGCCAGGGGATTACATTGTAAATATGCTTAGAAAAATATGGCTAGGAGATAGATGAAAACTCCCCTAGTGTATAATTCTTCTCGTTTGTTTGTTTGAAATCTCCCTTCTGCTCAGAAGAGAGAAGGGAGGACACGTTCTGCTCCGAGCAAGTGCAAAGACTCGCACGGCCGTTTCCTCCCCACGGCCAGGAGCCCCAGCGAGCGCCAGCCTGGCCTTTGCGGTTTGAATTCACTCTGATCGCCTCACCAGATGTGTAGACAGAAGCGAGGGATGGGATTTCACACTTTCTTTTAAGACTGCTTTTCCTATATCGGAAAAATAATTTCTTGTAATTAATCAGAGCCACAGATGAAAAATAAAGGCTACATGAAAAATTCAAAAGATTAGCGTTTTTATTTAAAATTTTTAAATTAATATGTAAGGGAGTGAATGAATTCCTTAGGCCCCAAATAAGAAACCTGAAAAGATATTTTTCACAACCACCCTTATTTTGGTCACAATACGTGTAATAGTGGCTTAAGATGTGGGAATCGGGAGAAAAATGCAGAAAGAACACCGTATGTTTTTGTAAAAAAATTTGCTACCATTATTTGGTTTTGACATTCAGATCTCTCCTTTCTTTGTAAATTCCTGACTTCCCCCTGGCCTAATCATGATTCTTTGACTTTTACAAACCTCCTGAATAGAAATCCTGTTTAATTATAGCATAACTCACTCGTACTGAAGAGTTATATTAATAACTAAAAGGATGTTGTTTAGAAACCAAAGGTAGATTTTGTGAAGAAAGAGAGAGGTGAGGAAAGGTTTGGGGTTCAGTTAGGAGAGGTAGGCTTCTTTCCTTGTCTACTCCTCACTGTCGCAGCTGCAGGTTTTCCCAAGCTCCTGTGACCAGGGACACCTCCTTGTCACTGCAGAGGATGTGGGGAAGGTGGATGCTCTCTCTCTCCTGGTGACATCTTTGCTTTCCTCCATGTCCCTGCTGGATGCTCACGTGAGCATCTCAGTTAGTGCTGAGGGGTTGGTGTGACACCTTGAAGAACGCTGACTTGAAGCTGCTCTGTATTCCGGTTCCCTCTTGTATTAGCTGTGTGATCTTAGGCACGTTGCTTAACCTCTCTGAGCCTCACTGTTCTTATTATAAAAGGATGTAATAACAGCCTCATAAGGTTGTTAAGATTAGCTCAGATATTTTGTGTAAAAGGCAGGCACCCAGTGTTTTTTATTATTATTACCATTTTAAATCTTGAGTGTTGGGTCAAAGTCAGGAGTAAAGAAAGTGGAGCACCAGGGGCAAGTTGGGAATTTATGCCTCTTGGTGCGGGGCTCGGTGTGGCGGGCAGCTGGGGATGGGCGTGCACCCGGCTCCGCCCTGCCCCCCCCCCTTTGCCCCGTGTTGGCGTGTGTCGGGCTGTGCACACAGTCAGGCTCTATTAGGCTTTTGGTTCCTCTGTCAGGAGGCACATCTAGTTCTGGCCTGGGGCAAATCTTGAAGGAAGTCTCCGTGTCCCTGGGGAAAGAGCACTCAACTCCAAAGCAGAAGCGGATTCTAGTCCCACTCACGGATCATCTTGGCTGAGCCATGGTCCCTCTGACAGAAAGTTAACATCCTCCACGGTGCCTCTTGTGGTGTCAGAGGGGAGATCAAATAAGATACTGTGTGGGAAACACTTTGCTACTCCAATAATAATATCGGTATTGATAATGGTAAATAGAGTTTCTTTTTGGCTTTCCAGGGCCCAGAGTTCTCCTCCTGTCCTTCCCAGAGTCCTCTTTTCAAACCTATTAAATATTCAAGCTTTTTTTCTTTCCGATTTCTCTTTCTCAGACTCCACTTTTAATCTACACACACAATCTGCCACACACACACATTCAACGCGGCCTGTAATATGTAGGATCTTGCTCTATTAGTTATCCTGACGTCATTTTCAGAGCTGTTGACGGGTCAAGGTAACATAAAGCTGCTTTTGGTAGAAAGTACCAGATGAGGGGTCAGCCACCTTTTTCTGTGAAGGGCCAGTTAGTAAATATTTTCGGGTTTACGGTCCATATAGTCTCTGTTGCAACAACAGAACTCTGCCATTGTAACAGGAAAGCAACCATAGGCAATGCAGAAATGAATGGGTGTGGCTGTGTTCCAATAAAGCTTTATTTGTAAAACTAGGTAATGGGCTTGATTTGGTCTGTGAGATGTAGTTTGCTGACCCCTGCCACAGACATAAGCTTGGTGGTGATGGTGGCAATCCCAGATGTTGTGGCAGGTTACAGGGAAAGAGCTTTAGAGCAGAGGGCTTTGAGATCCCCTCCCTTCTACCCTTCTCTGCCCGGCTATCTGAACCCGAGGTGCAGGCAGGGCTGTGCAGAGACTCTCACCCCGAAACCCACAGCTTGTTCAGCCGTTGACTGGCCTGCGATGGTTTGAAGGATGGAAATTTACAAGTCGGCTGAGAGCCATCTCTGCAAAGGACTGATTCAGAGTTCAGGGATTAAGCCTCTGGCTTGGGGATTAAACTGGAATTTCACATGCACAGACCCCACTGGCACCAGACGCTGGGCTGGGTCTGGTGCAGCACGTGCTGTTGGCTCCGAAAAGGTCCTCAACCCTGCTGTGGGCATAAAACTAAAAAAAAAAAAGAGAGAGAGAGAGTCTGGATTTCTGCTTTCAGCCTCGATTTTTTAATATTTCTACTGAATCTGAGATGAGAACATACTTTGGAAACAACCAAGGAGCATGAAGGAATTTTTTCCCTAGGCCAAGAGTGACTAAACTGCTGAGTGTTAAGTTCTCAGTAGGGACGCAGAGAAGCGTGGGCACAGAACTCACATTTCATCCCGGCGGCTTTGCTTTGCTCGGCTGGCTCCATCCTGCTCCTTCCTGTGGGTCTGGAAAATGACCCCAACTTTCCAGGAGCTCAATGTGCATGTGCCAGCAGACAGATCTATTTCAAAAGGAGCTTTTTGTTACCCATGGTCATTTTTGCACCTCCTGTTGTTGTCAGTCATCCAGTAAACAGGGCTGTTGGGGGAGCCCTGGAAGGGTAGAGGCTGAAGAAGATGCCTCGGGCTGGTGCACCCTTTTGTTCTTCACACGAGGAACTGGAGAGCCAGAGAGGGAGGTGAGCTGATCTGTCATAAGACTAATTTCTGGTGAATTGAGGACTAGAATCCAGTTCTCTGGGCTTCTATTCCAGTGGTGCATTCAAGAGAGAACTAAACTGCTGCTCTGTGATGACAAGGGTGATAGGGTTACAGGCACAAATAGTCCATTTGAAGCCATATCTCAGAACTAAAGACTCTTTGACCTTTGAGACGTAAAGTTTCTGCTTCACTCCATAGATTCAATCTCATCAAATCATATAAAAACAAACTTTGTTTGCTTTCATGGAGGTGATCTTTGTATATTTGTGTATCAGTCAGGATAAACTGAGTTATGTTGTGGTGACAAATGGCCCCCAAAGCTCAGAGGCTTACAAAAACAAAGTTGTTTTTCTCACTTACGCTACATGCCTATTGTCAGTTGCTGTGTTTCCGCTCCTCATCTCCTTACTTGAGGACTGAGGCTGATAGAGCTGACTCTGTCTCAGGGGTGGGAAACTGTGGGTCATGGGCTAAACCCAGCCTAACACCTGTTTTTGTAAACAAAGTTTTATTGAAACATAGACCTGGTCAATCATTTACGTATTATTTACGAGTGTATTACAACAGAATCGAGTAGTTGAAACAGGGACATATGGCTCACTAAGCAAAATCTTCACTTCTGGTCCTTTACAGAACAAGTTGGCTGACCCCTGGCCTGTCTGAAACATCAATGATCTGTCCCCTCTGGCAGAAGGAAAAGAGACAGAACAAATTATGGACTGGTTCTTGAAACTTCTCCCAAGAAGTGGCACGTGGTCATTTCTGCTCACATTTCCTTCATTCAAGCAAGACATGTGGCCACTCTTGAGTTCAACAGAGGGGGATAGAAATCAATCTTCCAACATGATTTGTATTTTATTTGTGCAGAAGTGGACTTTCTTTAACTAAAACAGAAGAAAGATTTATGGGAAGATTATTGGGTAATCACACAATTGATAGGAAGGCTGCAGAACAAGGCTCCAGAAGGAGAGGGGAGACACAACCACAGTCCCACCACGGGCATGGCCTCTGCCAGCTGTGCCCTCTGGCAGCACCAGCACTCCATTCCCTGTGCCTCTGCCTGCTTCCCTGAAGCCACTGTGAGTAATTTTAATTGGACCTTAGCCTGTAATGTCACTCCCTCAAGATTTAAAGTGCTGGGTGGGTGCCATTTACTGACCACATTTAAGTCGTGTGGCCATGTCCTAGCTGCTGAGAGGGCTGGGAAAATGAATATAAAGGTTTTTCATCTTTAGAAGGGGGGAGGGGCCCTTACTTACAAAGACTTACAAAGGGAGGAATTTCATCAACATAAGAAACCATGCTGGGAAGCTTGGAAAGCCAGAGCATTATCCTCTCTAATATTCAAGGGCTAGTAGTTGGAGGCTGGATGGAAAGTCTGGCTAAGTTTGGCATTGCTTTGGGTTCAACTTGTTATTGACAATTTGTAGCCTCATCTTTCAGAATGCTTTCAGCAGGCAGCCTAGAAGGATCAGAAAAAGGTGGGAGAGCTTCCTCCCTCCTGGATGTCCAGAAGCCAGAATGACCCTTCTTACCTGAACTTTTCATATTCTCTCCTTCATCATCCATTGTTCCATTCCCACAAAAGACCTCCATTATTTAGGAAAAAATAAGTCAGAAATCTAGTCATGGACAGAATGAGAGAGGGTGGGGAATGCATATGGAAATCAAATTGAATACATTCGGTATTATCACTCCCTCTAGGTACTTCTACTGGTGCTAATCATTGGGGTTGGAGTGTGTCTAAGCACCTTCAACCTCACAGGGTACAGGGCAGGGGCAGTTTGACAAGGTGAGGTGGGGCTTGATTTTGAAGGGGTGAGCTCAAAAGATACAGAACTCATCTGTAAGTGGGGAGTAGGAAGGCCACTCCAACCAGGGCTCATTTTCACCACGGGCCTCCCATTTGTACCTTTGAGTTCACATCTAAATGAATTTATGTGTAATGTAAAAGGTTGAATGGAAATAATTTAAAACTTTGTATCCCATTACCAGACCAAACTCTCTACAAACTAATATTTCTAACTAATCTGTGTTGTGAGTAGCATAATTATCTTGCATTTTACTTTTTGCATTAAAAAGTATTAACTTGTTTGGTGCAAATATTTAACCCTAGTTTTTAACTTTATTTTGCTATTCTTTCATTTCTTGAAGCCTCAGAGCATGGATGTGGCCTGAAAAATTCTTGACCTTTAATGCTTTCCTATCTGAGATGACTAATGTAGGCAGATCTGGATTCTCTAAAAGACATGAAGGCCCAAAGCAGGAAGAGCTGATATGAAAATCCAGACGGTCCAGGATGACTTAGAACTTGGAGTCACTGAGCTAAGGACTTGGAACTCTAGTTGTCAGGATTGAGTGTGGCTGTGAATGTGTCCTGAGTAATTGCCTTGGAAGTGATTAATGATCAATGACTTCCTAGAAGTGTGAGATATATGCAGGATGGCTTGTTACTGCACTCATTTGGAAATACCTAATGGAAATTGTCTGAAGTAGGTTCAGATCTCTATTGGTGATGTCAAATGTGTTTTCAAAAATGACTAAAAAACTAGTACACCCAGAATTGGGATTTGTCAGCAGATCCCTCTCTTGTCTAGATCCCGCAGTATTTGTTAAGATGTTGGCTGGGGGCTGGAGGCAGAACAATATCCAAGGGTCAACANTTGGGATTTGTCAGCAGATCCCTCTCTTGTCTAGATCCCGCAGTATTAAGATGTTGGCTGGGGGCTGGAGGCAGAACAATATCCAAGGGTCAACAAGAATGTAGTAGCTTTCCTATGGCTCTGTAGTATGTAATGAGTAGGGAAAGGTGAAGATTAAGCTCAGGTCAACTAAATGAGAGCCCAGGCCCCCAGCTCGGAGTAGGACAGTAAATAGGTAGTAAAGACAAGTGTCTAAAGGAGGAGAAGCTTGGGGGAAGGAAGAGGGGCAGGACAGACTTTTTTTTCCTCGTTAAGGTTTGATACCACCATCAGGTTCTCTGCTGGGAAAACTTTGATTTAGCAGGCCCTGTCCCATCTATCTGTCACTGGAGAGTAGACTGGGTTCAAAGTTGGCAATCCAGTTTCTTGCTGGCACCAGCATCCTGAAACCATGGCTAGATTCCTTGAATCCTGACCCTTACCCCCATACATCTGTCCCCCAGGTAGCACCCTGGGCATGAGAGTTGTTTTTCTAGAACCTATTGCTGTCAACCATTCTGACTTCTTTTATCTTTGTGTCATCTTCTCTAGCTTTAGCTGCAAAAGTAGTGTCCTCAGGTACTCAAATTAAGCTCAGATATAAGTTCTGGTAATGGGTGTCTATATTGAGTTTCCCCCACTTTTCCTCCCTCTTTCTTTTCTTTTTAGAGGAGCTTGACCAGGACAGGAGGCTGAGGGCTGCTTCTATCACCAAGGACCTCTCTTAGGTCAGGCTGAGGACTCCAAGGGCGGTGGTTCTACCAGGTGGCTCTCTGAAATTATTAGGAGATGATGTGGGGTATGGAAGAGTGTGGCCACACTTCTGATGACTTTGCTCTCCGTTTTCATGTTAGCTGCTGCTTGCTGCTGGGAATGGTTTCAAACCTCTAGAGTCAGAAAGTAAGTTGACTTTACCAGCTAGCCCAAGTTTCACTTTTATAGGAATACTTTCATGCTCAATTCTTTAAAAGAGAAAGCAAAACCCATCTTAATCTCTATTCTATGTATTATACACGATTTAAGCTTTTCCCCTTCATTCCCACTCTACAAGTGATTATTCTTATTGATGACAAATGTGATATTTTGGTTTCACATTATCTGCTTCACAAAAAAGACAACAGTATTAGTCAAATTCAGTTTATAATTTTACTTTTTAATGACCCAGATTCAGTATAATAGAATCATAGTATTTCAACATAGTATTCCAATCAGTATTTCAGTAGCTTAGGGACCATCCAGTCTAACCCCTAATTTTACAGATGGAGAAACTAAGACACAGAGAGGAAAAAGAATTTTTCCAACATTACTCCAAAGCATTCCTTCACAAATGCTCTTCCCTCTTCTTGGTCCAGTGCTTTTTCTACAAATTACTTTTCCCTTAGTGATCTTGTCAATTCTTCCCGTGGACTGCTTTTAGTTAAAAAATAATTAAATGATCATATTTTTAAAGCCTGAGTAAATATGTTCCAATTACACAAGTTGAAGGATGAGTGAGAGAGCGGAATCATGATGTGGGCATCAGAAGGCCTGCTAGCTCCGCCCAGTTGCACGGGTCTCTTAATGCTTTTGGTGCTTCTGGGCCTTGGAGTCAGAAAATCCAGGGCAGGGCTGAGAGACTGCTGAGAAACCCAAGAGGCATGGTGCAATAGGAGACAGCTTAGTTGTGATGGACAGGAGGGCGATGAAGCCACGTGGAGCCTGAGCAGGCATTGGGCTGGGGGACTGCCCAAGTTACATTTGAAATAAATAGTGCTTTTCCATTTGGTGTTTACCAATTCATAGTTGTGGCTGTTTGGGGGAGGCTCAAGAAAATGTTTTCACAGCCCTTGGGAATTGTGTAATGAGAATCATGTGTACACTGAACGTTGAGGGAGCTGCACCTGGGACACATTTGACCCATGGCAGAGACGTGGGAAAAGAGCCAATGTTTTTTGGACCCGGCCCGTTTTATGAAGAGATGCCTATCAAAACAAACATAAGTACACAAACAAAGCAACAATACCAAATACCACAGGGTCTAAGATTTAGGGAGAGTTTTCTGAACAAAAGACTCAGCAACGCTTATACTTAGAAGGACAACTAGGGAAGGAAAATGCTGCCGCCTGAAGGAAAAGGCTGTTTCACTGCTGCCTCATAGGCATCCCCGCAGGGACTATCGTGTTACCTTCCTAATGAAAAGCAGGCACTTCAGAAATGACTTCATACCAAATGAAAAATGATTCTAAGCTGAGTATGGCTTGTTGGGGGCTGAGCATGGGACCTGCATGAGGATATGCGTGGCTCCTCTCCTCTCCTGGGTCCAGGGTTACCTGGGAAGTAGAGATGAGAGAAAGGATACAGCTGATGTGAACAAAATGCCATACCAGAGAGTCTCTTCAGGCTCTGCACTCTTCATGTATTTTGTTCCCTTTTCTCCTGGGATGTGAAAAAGCAAAGCCATGTCTCGCTGGCCTTGATTCAAGGATCCCAGAGTTCTAGATTTTATTCTGTAGCAAGTGGGGAGCCACAGAAGGCTTCCCCCGGCAAATGCTGTCATTGACTTGGCAGAAAGGTCCCTTTAGGATGAGGTGTTCGTTTCCTCTTGCACTGTGTTCCACTCTTGCATGGGAGCTCAGTTGACCAAATCCAGTTCACTGAATGCCCCAACGTTTTCGATATTGCTGTGTCTTTGCTAATACTCTTCTCTCTTGCAATGCCATCCCTTCCCCATTTGCTTGGCTTACACCTGCTCAAAAACCCCTTGGTCCTGATTGCCTTTCTCCATCTCAGCCTGGGGTGGGTGCCAGTTTCATTGCCACCAGCTCATCTCTGTACAGACATCAGTCATACCCTATTATAGTTGTGGAGGAAATTGTCTGCATTATTCATGGACTCTAAGCCTTGGATGAAAGAAAGGTGCTCATTTATCTTTGAATCTCCAGTGCCCAGTAACTAGTACAGCATCTAGTATTAAGTAGCTGCTCAATAAATAGCATTGATTGAGTGAATCAAAGAATCTCAGGCTCATGGGCTCATAAGGCTCCATCTATTTGCCAACTTTGGACAAAGATATTGAAAAACTGGCCCACTGACAATCTAGCTGAGGTAACTGAATTCAAGGAAGAGAATTCTGGGTTCTCCTTCTGTGGTCCATGGTGTCTCTGGAAGTTACTGGAAACAGAAGACTTGACAAAAAAAATATTTTTCTTTTTACCTTTACCTCTACAATCCTATCCACTTCTAGTTCATCGCAAGCCCCACACATCCAAGGAGTTTTAACTACCTTCCTATGTTTGAGTTACTGCTCTTCATAGAACTCCAAGGGAGATGACCTAAAAGGAGTGGAGTGGCTTAGACTATGAAACTTCATGGTGGACTTTTCTTTTTTTGTTCAA